CGGTTGCTGTCATAACTTTTACAGATGACACGTTCAGTTGCCATCAAATCAACAGAAAGAAGTGCATGTCTGTAAGTGGCTAGAATGACAAATAGCTGGAGCGAACCTGACCAAAGGAATTAAATCTGGTCACAAGAATCTCTAAATCTCCCTAATGAAGTTAGTAAGATGCTTTTCGCTTAATTTGTACAAAAGCTAAAGTGAAAATGCAAGACAGACGGGTATGAGAACGATTCTGAGCTTCTGGTTTCACAAGAAAAGCGAGTAAAAAAAAAAAAAAAAAGCAAAACTATCTGAAATTACTTTTGAAATCTGAAAGCTTCTCTCATGTCACATTTCATTACTGACATGTCGCTGACCAGTCCAGAGCGCAGATGGATTGACGTTGAAGGCAGACACCCAGTTCCCACTAGTGCTCTGGAGATGCTCCTTTAATGTGAAGGGCACAGCGTTCGAGACCAACGCCTCCTCTGAAGAGACCTTGCTGACTTAGCCATTAGTCATTCCTCTGACAGTACATTCACACACACACACACAGACAAACACATTCTTCTCAAGCAAACCCACACGACTGAAAGAGAGTTCACACGCTGGCGATGGGCTACACCTTCAGTTACACCACCTCCACCTCATCCATTTCTCAGACTGACGAGTTACAACCTTTGCCTTTGGAAAAGAGACCTCACTATCACTATCGCTCATGTTGCTGATGGATGTGAGATCGCTGTGAGGAGGCGTCACGACTCGGGGAAGCTACACACATCAAGGAAGCTAAAGGAAGACAGGGAGATAATGCAAGTGAAAGTGTGGACAAAACGTACTGCTGCTTCAGCACATGTACCGCAGCCAAAGATCACCTTGGAAACCTGCATGGTTGTTCCTTTATCACGTACCCGCTCTGTTTACGTGCACATAATAGAGTGCTCTTATTACATGCAGTTGTAGCACTTCATTTATTCCTATTGAAGCATTCAGGAAATATTCATCTAAGTTGTTCTGAAGGCTTGCAGTGCATCACATCCTATAGACAAATAGTATTTGCCTTAGAGACAAGCCTGCAGTAGGGGCAGAAATGATCTGATTGGTAGGCCTGAGTGGGCGGTGTCAAGGTGCCAAAGTGTGGGTGCTTTTCAGTACCATNATTTGAGTGCATCGATGACTGGATTCACTTATCAGGGGACACCTGGTCTAAAGTTTTCATTTGACCCCTATTATAGCAGTTTGATAAATGTCACATTGTACCATCTGAGTGCACAAAATGTTCTAATGCTGCCAAACCCTCCTTAGTTGATAAACTGGATTCAAGCACTTATGCAATTAATTAAACCACCAAAAATGGGGCTTTGGGGACCTCGGAGGTCTGGTGATTCAGCCTCGTGCAGACGTGTAGCAGGGCTGAGATTCTTTTCGTGGCAGGGCTCAGTGGACTAATCAGTCAGATTTAGGATCATGTCCTCTGACAAATGAAAATGACGAGAAGCTTCTACACATCATAGTAAATTTGTCTTTCCACAGATTGTTAGTTTAGTGCCACTTGTCAACAGGCAGCACTGATTGTTACACAGTAAATGTGACTCTTGGCTCTGAGTTAAAGACACTTTAAGGTTAAAATAAGTATTTTTTTTTTACTTTCCAACTTGGAGTAAGTCTGACCGAACACTTCAGACTAAACTTGGTTAAATTCTGAATTCCAAACTCAAAGTGCTCCACTACTGACATCACCAAATGTACCAAAGATGATAACTGATCAAACTTGTTTTCTTGTGGATGGCAGACTATAAAACTACTAATGCTTAATTAGATATGTCAAAGAAAAAGAGGATGTTGATGTATTGTACATGGAACTGGGCAGAATATTACACATGATAGCAGGTGCTGTTAAGCTAAGGTTGCATGTTACTGTGATTCAATTTGCACTTTAGTTCTGACTTGGGGAACTTTTCCATCAGACTTATTCAAGCAGTCGGTTAGAAATGTTTGAATTTTGAGTTGTTTGAAATGCAGCTAAATATGCTAACTGGTGTTAACAGACGGTTAGCTTAGCCCTGTTCAGATATGGGATACGAAACATTGCTGTTTCATAAATATGTTCATGTGGTTAACATGGTCCTTCCTCTGTTAATGATCCACCACAGTCACATCGATAACCACGGCACGCCCACAATATTTCACCCAACATTAGACACAATACCAAGTAAACAAATAGCGTCAAGCTGTCCAAATACCTCACAGCTTCATTTATTTATGATTTTGCAAACATGGAAAATTCTGTCCACGTTTGATGATTATCTAACTGCTCCTTTATGAACAATAATAAAAAAAAAATCCCAACAACCTTGGAGCTTATTATTCAACCTGAGAACAACTGCTGTGTAACTAATGATTGAATAGCAGCTGATAAACTGGAAAAGTACACAGCATGACTTGACGTTGGATCTTGAACAGATTGTGTCTTCATGTTTGGGATATTTTACACTTCTGAATACTTAATGAAGGAACCAGCACTGTTTGTTCCACAAATACAGCGGTCTGATGCTGCAGGTATTCCACAAACTCAAAGTAAAGACTCCTACATCCAGCTGGAAGCAACAAACCAAACTTTAGCTCCTGTTAGTGAACTAATTAGATTCACTTTTGGTGAGTACAATTGATCAAAGCTTTAAGAGTCCGTTTTTTTTAATGGTGAATTGAATTTTAGTAGGTTAGACTATTATTTTAATAGTTGTGAAATTGCTGAGCAACGTGAATGAGAAAAGTCTCTTGATTTCGACTCATAAACTGCGTCTTTTGCTCTTTGTGATGTTTTTGGACTAATGTGGTAAAAAGCATTCCCCCAAAATACTTCACACAACTCACA